TTTCCCGTCCGAAACTTCGTTAAAAATTTCGGCACTTCTGCAATCGTTTCCTCGAAGAGGACAATCTCGTTTTCGACGAGTGAATCGGGTTTATTCTCCTTTCTCGAAAAGCAATCCTCCTTTTGTCAACGGGACAGCAATAGGTATCGATTCATGCCACGCACCCGGAAGCCGCGATAAAAAGACCCCACGTCGCGGTCACTTACAAAGACTCCTTCTTCTTCTTATGGGAAAAGGCAATCGAAGGCTGGATATTCTTCCTCGAAAGAATTTATTACGGATCGAGTTTAGCAGGATGGAAGAGAAATAGGGTAATTTTTTTAAAGCAGAGATATAATTTGAAATCGTTTCTTCTTTGTATATAATCTTTCAAAATCTTCAGTTTTGTTATTAATTTTAATTTCTAGGTTTGGATGGACTTTTTTTTTTTGTAACAAATTTTAACGGAGAGGAGATCCATTTTAAATATGGATTTTCTTTCCTTTAATCCAAGAGGTAAGAAAGAACATCGATCAACTCTCCCATCAACTCTCTAACTCTCCTTTCAAAAATCGTTGCGATTGAAATTCATCGTTGCGAGAAAAGAGAAAATAATTTGCACCGGCCGACATCTCATCCATTATTGCTGGCAAGAGGGCCAGGCCACGTTCCCGCCGTGGAAAACTCCGCGAAAAAGGATATTCAAGTGGAAGTCCTTGGACGAACTTGTCTCGGGTTAGAGAGCTACTCTTCATAACTGGACTGATTTATTCATTGAACATTCGAGAAAGTTGCCGCTCGCGGAGTTCCACCCGTGACGAGAGAGAAGGATCGCGGACAACCAAAGAAATTTGTATTCTTTCCACGTACAATTAACCCGATTTATCTCGCGAGAGAGATCCTTTCCACGCTGCCTCCGATTTAAAGATCCGCGTGAAAAAAACAAAAAAAAGAAAGAAGAAAAAGAAGAAAAAGAAGAAAAAGAAGAAGAAGAAAAAGAAGAAGTAAAAAGAATGATAATAAGAAGAAAATATAAAAGTAACAAAAACTGTTCTAATTTCACGAGAGAGGATTCGAAGAGGATTTCGATCGGAGGAACAGGGCGAATGGTTCGGCGAATACGAAATCGCGATTATTGTTCGCCGTAATTCAGCTCAATTACACGGTAACAGAAAGTTGTTACTCGTGAAACGAAGGAGGGGTGGAAATGGATCGAGAGAAGGATAGAAGAGGATCGAAGATGAAAACGAGCAACGAAGGTTAGCTGTAGCTACAGCGAAGGAGGGGTATTAGCGATTCCGTACGAGTCGCCGGCTAGGCGAGCGCCGACGAGTATGTAAATACGTGCACATGGATGCGGGAAAATTGAGCGGATGTGAGTAAATGATGGTACGTGACCGATCTTAGAGCGTCGAAAGAGGAGAGAGATCGCGGTTGGAAGGAGGCGAACGCTTGCTTGGTAACCAGCTACGATACTTCGTCGAATAAAAGGAAAACAATTTTCTTTCAGAAAAGTGGAAATTGTTTTCAGAGGCGAACTCGTATATATTTCAACCCTTTCATCGGATGGATAAGGCGTCAGGAGTCGATCCATCTCGACGAAATAATTGAATAGTCTCGCGAAAATTAATTCGCGAGAATTGTTTTAATTATTTTGCGAATATATAATTCAACGAACAGAGAGTCGAGATAAGTATCGTTGAAAATTAATCAGGTAGAGGCTGTTCGCGCTCGCGATAGTTGCTGGTGGTGCTCGATAGGTGTTTGAGTGTGTGTGTAGAATGCTCTTCGACAAATGTCGTAACAAGTGGTGTATTTTCTTAACGATAAGTGTATTACAAGTGGAATACGTGTCTGTACGAATGCTGGGTCTCTCGTAATGTAGATGATCGTGTCGGATACCTGGTTACAAAGAAACTATCCATTTATCCACGTATCCAGCGATCAAAGTATCACGAAGCATTCACAGCGAAGTATTGATTAAATTTTTCCTTAATTTTTAATGAATTTTAATTTTAATGATCCTTCTCGCGATCTTTCCTAAAATTCGAGGAAATCTTTGGAATTAAAGTGATCAATATCGCACGAAGATTCGATGATAATCAGAGACTAATCGTAAATCTTCTCGATCATAGGATGATGCTAGATACCATTGAGTCAATCGTGTCTGAAATACGTCATCCTTCGATTTAAAATTACATTTCTATTAAGCTAGGATATCTTAATATGTATACAGTTTAAACATCAAAAGCAGCCATCTTAGGCAACATCATCCTAGAATTTTTTTATTTGGTTTAATGGGGTTCAGTGACCGTTAATAATGAAAGATTTTCTTCGAATACATGGCATGGCATAAATCTCGAGGCCACTTATGCTCGCGAACAGAGAGAGATCTGGAAAAGTTGATCGGAATTTAGATCGCTCGATCGATAAAAAAGAAGCTGCCAGAGTGACGGCGTAGGCCAACCGATTGAACCGAATGGAATCCGATAATAAGCACGCGTGCATTTCGTGCGTGTATTGTTTCGATAAAAATCCTCGTCCCTTTTTATCGAACAATTCGTGGAAGCTTCCACGCCGGTTCCACAAATCGATTCACCTCTCGCTATTCACCGATCGACGCCCGCCAAATTCAATTTGCCCTTCGACTGTTCCGCGAATTTCCTTTATGACCATCGGCTATTGGTGTACCTTTTGTGTAACGTCGATACGACGTTGCTCGCTCGACAAAAGAACTAAAACGTTCGATGTGGTAACTACACGTTTTCCGGAACGTTTACAGTTTTAAAGTTCTTTCCATTTCCAATATTTCGAACATTTTTACATATTGTTATTACATTTATCGTTCAACTTAGTCAAGACTTATTTGACTTCGCGATGTTCGTATAAGTCAAGTTGCTTGTCTTTTAGTCGATGGTGCTCGTGCAAGACGAGTTATTTAATTTGACGTCATGTTTAAGCAACTTCTTTCTCGAAGCGGTACTTAATATGGTGTCAAAGGATAAATAGTAGTTTGTAGTAGTGTTTGTAATAATAAAAAAATTGCGAGTATAAAGAGTCTCGTAATAATATCGAAACAAAATGATTGAATTAATAAATTGTAACAAAATGAATTGTCAAAATTAAAATAATAAAAATAAAAGTGGTTGTTTTTTTATTTTTTTTATTTTCTCTTTCTCTCATCAAGCGTATGTTGAATCCCTTTCTGTTCATTGATTTATTTGAATTTCTGTCTCCTACAAATTATTAATTTCAAATGCAAATGTCGCATCAAATTGCGGTTCAACGACCAATATTAAATGTCATTATAAATAGATAATTTTTAGAAAGTTTCGATTTTCGCTTCTACTCGGATAGAAGAGACGCCAATTTAACAAAATCGCATTAATTAAATAGGATCGCGTGCACGTGACAAATGATCAGTGTATCTTGTCGAATTACTGATAAATTAGTACGCGCGTGTTGCTATCGACAATTCTAAGTACAGGCAGGAAATGTCTGTTATTCGCCGTATTTATCCCACGATTCGTGATCATTTTCCATGATAAACGTTCTCATTTGCCGCATTCTACTCACGATTACTCGCATCGAAAGGCAATTAATCCTTGATCGAATGCGCAAAAAACATTAACAATCGTTTATTTCTAATATTTTTTCCATTTATTCCGAATGATCCCGATGAAATATGTTTCTCATAACAATTGTTCTTCATGACAATAATAAAAACTATTGGTTAATTTTGACACGAAATTTTTTAACAGTCCAATTTGAGCATCATTGAACGAGAAAATATTTAGAATGTCTCAACTGCTTTTTTACAATGATGCAGATTTATTAAAAAAACAAATAAAAATTTCTGAGACAAGAGGAAGAAGAATAGTTTTTATAATTTTAAAATAATCGAATGGTTTTCGTTAAATAAATTAATATTTATTATGAATTTTTAGTTGTAATTTTACAACAATAGTCTAATAAGATTTTGTAATCAAATTTTTTTAAAAATTAATATTTCGTATTTTATTATATTTATTAATATTTTGTTTCATGTTTACATGGAGCAGAACAACCTCACCTGCATAAAGGTAAGAATTATTATTTAATATTATGCAGTAGGACCAAATATATCAAAAAAAAAAAAAAAAAAAAAAAAGTAGTATAAATTTTCATAGATATTCCAAGTTAATTATCCATTAGATTTTTTAGTTTTCACTATGAAACTAACCAAATTGAAAGTATTTCGTACCCGATTGTTCATTTTATTTCATTTTCAAGCTATTAAATTATTATATTTTTTATTGTTTGTCTCAAAGACTGAAACTTGTCTTCTAGACTGAAACATCGTTAATGTACGACGCTGTGCACCTATTCGCGAAAGCGTTGCACGATTTGGATACGTCCCAGCAGATCGACATCAAGCCACTCTCCTGCGAGTCAACCGATACCTGGCCTCACGGGTATTCACTCATCAATTATATGAAAATCGTAAGTATTTAAGCTACGTGATACGATACATGAAAAATCATCCATATCATCGCGAAAGCTAAAGCACATCTATGAAAAATAGATTTAACGTATGCGAGGAATCTTATTTTTCTCTTCTGTTCCATTTGTTCCAAAGAAAAATGGAAGAAAAATCTGTCGAGATATTCCCCCCGATTGTTCGACGAGAAAGACGTTCAAAGAGCGTCTGCTTTATACGATGTCGCATGTGAAAAGGGGTGTGGGAGGGGAGAGAATTCCATCGGTGCCTTAATTCTATCGCGATATCGTTGGAAAAGATCCAATCGAAAACGAGTGGAACGATGGTCCAGGAAACGATGTTCACGTCACGATGATGACGTCCCGATGGGAGCCTATGACGTAATTGGCGTAAAGAGAAAAAGAAAAAAGAAATGGTGCAATGGGACGGAGGAAATTCTCAGATTAACTTGGTTGCTTTCGAACGTTGCAGCTATTTTTTTTTTTTTTTTTTTTTTTTTTTTCGCTCGCTTCACTCCTTTCTCGCGGGCTTTGCGATAACACTCTTCAAATCATCGCATTATTCTCGCGGGGAATAATGAAATCTCGGTAAAATTTTCAAAAAGCGCAATTTGCGACGAAATCACTTAATTTCGCGAAATTAGGGATAATTTGTCACGTTCAAGCCATTTTCGTGTAAATTCAGATTTTCATTCGCCACTTATGACTTATTATCTCGTTTCTCGTATTTTATCGAAATCGGGATTTTTTCAGCGGGGAAAAAAATGAATTTATTTGAATTTATAATTGATACGTTAACCGGCTATTCTTTCTCTCTCTCTTTTTTTTATATTATTCCACATTAATTTAATTATCTTTTCGTTTGAATTTACCCCAATCAAAATATATTTCGAAACTACATGTAATATATTCTTTATAATAATATAAATAATATAAAAATAATTTAACAATAAAAATCGATCCTGTTAAAAAATTCTCCCTTGCATAATTATATATTTTTTTTCGACGACCACAAAAAATATTCGTTCGAATATAAAAAAATCATAAAGATCAATTGTAAAATCAATCACGCCCAAAAACCAAACCGATTCGAACCAAACCGCAACGCAAACATTGGAAAAAAAAAAAGGAGAGAAAAAAAAAAAAAAAAGAATCTTCCACCAATTTACTCTTTCCTATACCTCATACATATTCACTATTCTATAACACAGTAACCAATGCATTCTCCGTTATCATCCTCGCGATCTGAAACCGGTGAACCGCGACGTCCTCGCCAACTATTTTTCGAAAAATGCATATCTGGGCACACACGCGCACATATCTGGTATTAAAACCAGAGAATATATATATATAGACTCGAACGACCGACAACGATCGAGACATCTTTTTCCCAGGCGAGAGGGGGGAGAAAAAAATCTTGGAATTGGCACGAAATATGCAAAGCAGGCTACTGGTCGAGCCGCGTGCGACCGGTCTAATTGCATCACCGCGTAATTAGAGGTTTGTGGTGGTGCGAAGCCGAGTTTCGAAACCGAGCTCATCGCGACAAAAACGTATCCGCGCAAATTGATATGCAACAATTCCGTTATCGATAAGTATCTTGCGAATGGTTGCTGCGTTTCGATGCGGATAAAGAGAGAGAGGGAGAGAAAGAGAGAAAGGGAGATCGAGAGATAGAAGGATACTAGGTTTATCGCGCAGAAGGGGGAAATTAATTTCGCGGAATTGTGGGCATCGATCGATCGTCCCGGTAACGTAATAAGCCATTATAACGATATGTTTAATCGCACTGTCCCTCTCCGCCTACGAGATCCTGTGTTTATTAACGAACGCCGCGAATACCGTCGCGTGTAAATGCAAACACGGCGCGGAATTATGGAAAGTGTGCCTTTCCATACGATCCACGCGCCACACTTGGTTCGAGAGATGTGTATTTGGTAAATTGAGAAACTTATTTGCACGTGGAAAATATTGGAGAGTGTATCGAGGGAAGGAGATGATTGGACCGGTATATGAATGTATATGTTTAAGGATTAGATGAATAATTAAAAGTTTAATCGAAAGTCCAGTCCAGTTGATGAAAGAGGGGAGGATACTGTGACGAAATTTGTGACAATTTGTCTCGTTTAATTTCCTTTAATACCAAGATATTATTATATCTTTCGTCCATAAATCATCATCATATTAATTTGCAACGAATCTCTTTTAATCTTCTTTTAGCTTTAGTCCAGATATCGCATCTTGCGTTTATACTCGGATTATCCGTAGTTGGAATGATATTATAGTAAAAAAAAAAGAAAGAAGAAATAGTAATTTTATTATTCTTCGAAAAAGGAAGAGGATTTTCAGTGGTGAATCAAGGAGAATCGCAAGGGTGACACGAACATTTCCCTCCAACTGTTCGCGATTGTTCGTCGAACAATGGAAAGTTACGTTCCGGGTTAAACGAAGCCATCCTTCCGTTGACAAATTATGGTTGGTGGTTTTGCGACCGTGAATCTATGATGACGTTCGTGACGTCTACGAATCTACTAGGGACACGGTTGACCGAAGTTCAAATCCTGACCGAGTAACCCGAACTTCGAGAAGGTGAATTGAACCCTCTTGGACGGAAGTGATAGCAAGATTATTAATTGGAAGGCGATGATTATTCCTTTCGGAATATTGGAATTCGGAATATTGGAATATCGCAGTATCGAGAATTTAGATTTGAAATTTGATGGACCGTGAAATTACTTCGAAGCAATGATTTCGAATGGAAAAAGAGATATTTTCGAATTTTATTTAATTCTCTTTATTTGACTCTCGAATGAACTGAGACCTGATGCTTGTAATTTGAAAATTTATCAAATATATTTTTTAATGTAACCACGACTTACATCTAGTTTCAAAGACATTAATAACTAGATAAAAAAAAAGAGAACAAATAAAAACGCTTAGAAAATATAATTATGACGCAGCAAATGATCTTTAACGAGCTTACACAGCTATCCGAGTGCATTATTAACCGTAATGCAGCACTCTAGCGGTGTGGCCGTTTCGAATATCGTTAAAGTTCGCAGCCTAATCGCTTAAAGCATCAAGTATCTTAAGCGTAAAGTTCCTGATAGAATAGTTACCACGATTCAGCCTCGAATGGGCTACGAGTTCTTCCCGAAAACTATTTCGAGATAACGATGGTTAAAGTTTTGCCGCTTTGTTGTTGTCTAACAAGCAATTTTAATTGGATGCGCGATAAAACGAAAATCGAAAACGTTCCTGGCGTGCAAAACCGATTTCTTCTCTACGAATCGAATCGCGTAACGAACCGATATCCTTTTCCGTCCAATTCGAATAATTGGCGTGCGTATATTTCATTTTCAACGAAATTTTCAACGAAAAAAAAAAAAAAAAAAAAAAAAAAAAAAAAAAAA